CCGCCCCGACACTTCCCTTCCATTCCTGGCCCTGCAGTGCCAGCCTGCCCATATCATTACCGTGTGATAATAACAACAATGAAAATTTTTTTTACTACTTGCTAAGGAGTATGTAAGTACTTTACATATAGATTATTTGATCCTTATGAAAAGTGCGTTAGATAGGTATCATTGTTATTTTTATCTCTACTTTTCAAAAGAGCAAAGTGTGGACCAGGGAAGCCAGGTAATGATGAGTTTGCTCAGCTGGTCAGCAGCACAGGCAAGACTGGAAACAGGGTGATCTGATCCCAGACTCTATATCATTAACCCCTGGGCTGTACTGCCCTCTGCTTGACTCTGACTTAGGGGGAAGACATGGCCTCATCCTTTTGCTGGGACCGAGAAGGCATATTTATGTTTCATTCTTGAGAACTCAGGTAACAAGCAGGGCTGGCTTTATGGCAGGTGTTCTCATCGCAGTTTTGCTCCCAGGGAACATTTGGCAACGTCTGGAGACATATTTGGTTGTCACAACTCGGGGAGGTGCTACTGGCGTCTCGTGGGTAGAGGCCAGAGTTGCTGCTAAACATCGAAAGTACAGGACAGCCCCCCCATAACATAGAGTTATCCAGCCCCAAATGTCAGTCACCATTGAGAATCCCTGGTCAGGTGGACACAGGTCACCAGCAGCCACAGCTGGTCAGAGCTGGGACAGGCAGGGCCTGAGAATGGGCCCTGGGGCTCTGTCAGCCCAGGCAGGCAAGCCCCAGGGTTGGAAGAGGATGAAGACAGGATACAGCAGAGAGGCTAGAATCACAGAAGGATTAAGGGACTTAGCTGGTGACTTCAACCTCAAGGACACGGACTCCCTGGGGAGGTAAGGGTTGGAAATGGGAGGTCCTGTAGACAGAAAGTCACCACTCAGTGGGGGCCCATTTGAGAGAAGAACATTGGGCTTTGCAGTCTCCGGAACTCCCATCACCACGAGGGTGATACAGGCACAGGGTCAGTCCCGTACCAAACTCAGCCTGCAGATAGCTGATCAGTGGGCGGCTTCTGTCAGGGCTTGCTTAGGGTTTTGCACACAGTGGGCGGGACCACGTGCCATGGCTGCCTGGTCCCACATGCTTGCCCTCATTCCCAATGCCCTGTCCCCTCCCCTTCCTGCTCTTTCAGATTAGGATCCATAAATCTGAACTTCTCTGAGTAACACAATCCGAGCTCCCACAAAGCAAGGTCACTGTCCCGAGGCAGACACGTGGCTGATACATTTTTCCTCGTTGTCTTCCAAAGGGTGTCTGCATTCTGTCTAAATCTCTTCCCTTCCTGCTGCAATCCCAGAAGATCACACTTACTTCACAGAAGAAGCACACTGGGTCAGGCAGGGAGCCTGGACCTGGACCTGGGGAACTCAAATCCTTGGGGACAGGCTGAGGTCTTCACCCACAACTACCATTATGTCCAGCCCTGTAAAATGCTTTCATTTCTGCCTCTCAGATCATAAAACTGGGTGAACGCAGATTTTAGTCCTGCTCAGGTATCCCCGCAAATCTGCCTGCCCAGTGAATTCCCCGACGCCTCCTCCCTGCAGGTGGGAGCATTCAGAGGCAGTTCCGACAGCTGTCACCCAGATGCACCAGCCCCTTTCCTGGTGAGGAGGTGTCCCCGTGTCCCTCTACAGGGCCTCGGCATCTGGACGCAAGACAAGGGAGGCACCACCCGCTGGAGACCCAGTGGAGCTTCTCAGCCTTCTGCCTGCTCTCTCTTCCCTGTTCTATACATACTCTCCGCCCTGCGAAACAAAATAATCTAATGTTTAAATAAAATTCTATCAGGTCCAAGGACCAGTATAAGTGCTGGGGAATTTTAATAGGAATAATACAAGACTCTGACTCGAAGCTTTCAGGCAAGCAGCAGGGAGTGTCCTGGGTAAAGGGGACTTCCAGGCCCCACTGCTAAGGAAGCATCTCCTGGGTACCTCGAGGGGAGGGTTGAGTTCACAGACACTCAGAGTGAGAAGGCATAGATCTCATCCGGTTCAGCCCCCTGGCTTTATTCATGGGGAAAACCAGGACTCCGGCTCCTCTCAGGCATGATGGTGATTAACCAGGACTGGTCAAACCCCTCCACGGAAATAAGCTGTGTAAGTCAAGGTTCTGAGATGTGCAGCCTAGTCGGGAAGACTGAGTACACCAGCCTTCCCATACCGCCAACTTACGTACCACCTGTTTGACCAGCCTCGTTTGTCATGAAAATTTTTACTGTCCTGCTTCTAAACCCCAGTGTCCACAATTCGGTCCCCACAGGCCCAAACAGACACAGAAAGCTAAGAAGCTAATACCAATCCTACAGTCTCTCATTTGACATTGCCTTCAAGCCCCTCTACCCCAAGCTTGCCGGTCTGCTATTTTGGGTGCCAAGTCAATTTCCCGCAGCAGACAGGAAACACGCCCTCATGGGTCTTTGGCACAGCTGGGCTTCCCAGCTTGGAGGTGAGGAGGGGAGGCACTGGGTGAGACCGACCTGCTTCCTCAGGCCTCCCCAGGAAGCAAAGGGCTGGCTGACTCTAGGAAGGCTTGAGAGGCGGAGCGCCTTCACAAAGCCTCTTTTTGCTGGGAAACAAAGCTTTCCACATTGCCCCGGGCCTGATCTCTGCAACCCATCTGAAGGGTGCCTGACCAAGGGGATAGCAGGACAGAGGCTGTGTGAAAGGGCTGCTCTGAAGCAGACAGCGGACCCAATGGCAAGTGTAGAGGCCCCTCTGGCTTCTCTTCCCACGTGCCAAAATGTCAGGCTGTAGGACCTCTGACGGCCTGACATTTTGGCACGTGAGAAGAGAAGCCAGGGGGACCTCCCAGCGACAGAAGAGACCACCAGCCTGACTGCCCAGAGGCCTGCCCTCCCCCAGTGTGAAAGCCAGGCCACTCCATGGGAATCTGCCAGGGGAGAAAGGTTCTGGCTGTAGGGTGTTTAGTGTTCCATGACTTCCTGGTGGGTATGCCTAGAGTGAGCCCCGGGTGAGGGCGGCAGGGTGCAGGTGGAGGCCTCCTCCCTCTCCACGGGGTGCTTTGGGACGACGGCTCACGGCAGCAAGAAGCACAGACGGGGCAAACTGCAACATCACAGACCCCCTCGTGTCTACCTGGCAACAAACGGTTTGCCTGCCCCGATTCCTGGCACTGGGCGCTGCACAAAGCTAGCGTGCTGTGGATCTGACACGACTGCGGGGAGGGGCCGGGAGAAGTACCTGAAAAGGCGAGTGTCTGGGACCACCCGGCTGCTGGCAATCCGCTCGCTCTCCCGCTGGTTGAAAGCATACAGCTTATAGGGATCATCACCGACACGCCACTTCTTGGCATTCAGATACCGCCGCTCATCAAATTGGTCCCATAGGTCATCCCAGTCAGCATCCGGAATCTGTGTGACATGAACAGGAAGTCTGTGAGGATGGCTCCCGGTCCTCTCAGCCCCCTCTGGCTGTCAGTGCCCAGCCGCCAAGACCAGGCTTGTGCCGGCGAGGTTTAGCTCAAAGATAGGGGCAGAGGTAGGACGTTAATAAAACCATAAGCAACGATAACAACAGAATGACGATGACAATGTCAGCTACCATTTAACGAGTGCTGTGCTCACATACCAGGCACTGTGCTACGACCTATACTCACGTTATCTTGTGTAGTTCTCAGAGCAGTTTTAGGAGATGGATGTCGTTCGTATTCCCACTGCACAGACAAGGAAGCAGGCTCTATAGCCCAGGTGGCTCGCTCCAGATCTCACAATTAGGATGCGGCAGGGCTGGGACTTGGATTCTAGAATACTAACCCCAGGGGCCACTTCTCCAGGGTAATTTGAGACACTTGGTGAAAAGTGCTGGCACAGTGGCTGGCGCATAGTAGGTGGTACACAGTGACTGTCACTCCTTCCTCTGCCAAAGGAAGGTGGCGATGAGAAGTAAGCAATCCATCTATAATGGTGTGCTACCCACCAGGTGGATGCCTGTGTGTGCCTTTCTTCCTCCAACCCAGGAATCTGTGCTTATTTTTAAGAAGCATCCATGGGGGAGCAAGTAATAACCCTCACCACAAGAGAAGAGAGTACTTTAGAATGTATAAGGCGGTTTCTGCATTCACGATACCGTTTCACCCTCCCCAAGACCCTCTGCAGAGTAGGGAAGACAAGCCTTCAGAAAGGTTACTGGCTTGTCTGAGGTCGCCCAGGTGGATGGTGGCAGAGCCCAAAGCAGAGCTCTGTCTCCTGGACCCTCCAGTGCAGAGGAGGTGAGGGGATTCACACAGGGAGGCGACGGCTCCTGCCCAGAGCCCAGGTGGCCGCCTCTGCTCTGCCCACCCCAGCTGTGCAGCCAACAGAGACTCCACACAGCCAGCAGGAGGTATGGGCTTCAGGGCCTCAGCACACTGGACGCTTCCCTTGATAGCCACTGCCCAGTGGATGGTAGTGCCGCCCCCACTAGGGGAGAGCCTGTCTGTATCAACAAAGCTCAGACCTTTCAGGTGCATCAAAGCCAAAAGAGTCCTGTGCCAGGAAGAACCTATTGACCAGGCTCCGACCTGGACCACGAGGGCTGGAGCCCTGGGGCTGGCATCGAGGATGAGACGTTCATTCATGTGTTAATGACCCTCCTTCTCTGTGCAGGTATCTGAAGCTGCCCGGGTACCACCCATCCCATCATTGACCAGGATGCTCTTCTGCACTCAGGGCATCTAAACAGGAAGGCCCAGGGCAGGTGCTGCCGACAGCAGTGCAAGCGCTCGGCCCACGTTTGGCAGGTAAGGGGGGCCCGCTCGCCCACATACGCATTCATCTCAGGCACCACTGCATCTTATCTGATAATTGATCTTTCCCTTTCGCTCTCTCTCTCTCTGTTATCTCCTTTTGAAACAGCATTCTCCTGCTAAAAGCACAAAATGAAGCACTGGAAACCAGTGATTTTTATCCAATAATTGGTTTTATTAATGTCCTGTGGATACTGCTGCTACGTGGGGGTATTTGTGTGTGGGTGGTATGAAACCCCCAGCCTGGGCTGTGTCATGTCACAGCCTGACAGATGTCACCTGTGCTTGGAACATGACCTCAGGGCCACCCTGACATCCCATTCTTGCGGGAAGGCCCACGGCGCCCTGAACCATCTCCAGCTGGCTCATGTCCCACTGAATTCACTGCAAATCTCAAAATAAGTTATGAGCCCCTACAGTGCTGTGTGCTGGGGAGGGGAGATGCGGAGACGGAAGGCCCCTGCCCTCCAGTGGGCGCAACATTGTAGAGACACCTGCGTGAAGACACCTATAACAGCGGAGTGAGGGAAATGGGAACGGCTTCCCAGAAGCATCAAATGAGTTAGGACTTGAAGGATGAGCAGGGATCTTGCTTTGCTTAAGGGGATATGGGGAAGGGAAGTGCGTGCGCAGTGAAAATCCAGATAAAAGGCAGAATGGCTCAGGGGAGGAGCATCTTTTCAGGGAATGGCTAGGTCAGAATGGGGAGGCCAGAGTGTGGACTGCAAAGAGAGCATGAGTGAAAGAAAATTCCAGAATGTGGCTGGTCCCGTACGAAGCAGGTCAGGGGAAAGTATCTCTGGCTGCATGTGCAGGATGGAGTGGAGGGAAGAAAGCTCCACGAGGAGACCATTATGGGAGGTAACCTTAGCACTTTAACCTGGTGGGAAGGGAAGCCTGATGGGGCCCAGGTGTACAGTTCCATCCATCAGCTGGAGAAGCAGGTGGTGGGACAGGCACCGTGGGGAGGCACAGGGGCTGGAGTGAGGGCACTCGACCAACCTCTAAGTCTCATCCCAATCCCTACTTTCTATTAATACCAGACCAGGCTCAGGGCCAAGGGGGTACAAGTTTGGGTGGTTTGCTCAGCCTGGTAATCGCCACCCTAAGGGCAGCTAAGCATCCTTGGCATCCTCGGAGATGGTGCCGTGAGAAGTCAGCTGGCTTCCAGAAAGCCTAGAGCCAGAGCAGCAGCCAGGCTGGCAAGAGAAACTGTCTGAGCAGTCAGTCAGGGACATCCTTGGAGGGGACCACTCCCTCAGACGGTCACGGGTGCGGAGCTGGTTCCCACTTTGCTGCACTGGATCCACTGGGGGGATCTCCCTGTACTGGGAGCTTGGTGTTTCTATAATGATATCTGGATGTCTTAAATAATGGTGAGACTGAGTTTAAAACAACACTACCATTTGAATAGCAATCTCTATTTTATGAAGCAGCTTGCAGGTACTGTCACAGAATCCTCACACAACCCCCATTTGGACAGGGAGGGGTCGACTTAGAGAGGTAAGGTGCCTTGCCCATGCACGACGGCTAGTAAGTGAAGGGACCCCCGACTGAATCTCCCTAGGGCCTCCCAGCGCCATGGTCTGTTCTGTTTATCATGGACAGAACAAGGGGCATCCTCTCTGCCGAGGATGAATGGGCAGAGAAAGACCCCCCTGGAGGAGTGGAGTGGGGGACATGCCCGCAGGAAGGGCCAACCGCTCCTGTCCTGCTTGCCCCCAGAAGAGGGTTGACCGCGGTCCTCCCAGAATTTCTAAAGGGGCAGCGACTTTGCCAGATACTTCCAGTCCTGATTTGGAGCTGGTTTCCAAGCTCTTCAATTCGCAAGTCCCCACATCTGGCCTCTAAGGGCCCAGGGCATGTACGTTGTACCCATGCATCGGATTCCTCGCTTCCTGGCTCATGTGAACATCGAGAGAGTTTCTGAACAGGCACTTTCACCTTCACAAGCCTTCCTAGCACAGGACGTGAAATGCTTTTCCAAAATAAGAACACACACCAAGGAGCCCCCCCCAAGGGCCCACCCCAGAACTGCGCCCACTGCCACATGGCCCCCCCAAGCTGCCACCACTTGACTTTCTGACCGGAATTTATTCAATCTAGAGTGTGTGTGTTTCAAAAGAGGAGTATGATGCCACAAACAAAAACGAAGACCATCTTTTAAGTAGAAACTATCTGATTAAGTCAGCCAACCCCCTGGCCAAGACCAGTGCTTAAATAATTTGGCACCAAAAATGAAAGCTCAAAAAGCACATCTGTTAAGTTGCTTCATTTCTTTCCTCTCACCACACTTCCATGAGAAATCATGAATCCCCTTTCCTCCATCCTTCCCTGGCCTGTTTTCTCTCACTCTGGTTTCAAGCTGATTGTTTGGCTCAGGAAACATGGGTGTAGCCTTCCCTTCTGTTAGGTTTTGAAGATGCCTCTATTTTCCACTGATATTTTTGTCTCCCTCTCTTCTTTCCCCAGCTTGGTATTACTAGTTTTCTCTATTGATCTAATTCTCTTCTTTTTCACTTTCAAATGAGAAAATCTCTAGCCCTTGCTAAAGCTTTCATCTTACTCTGAATTGCACCTGATCCTTAAGAGAATGTCTCAGACTCACCCTATAATAAACAGCTAACACCTTGGGGGGCTCTTATCATGTGTCCTAAGTATTTACATTTAATCCTCACTATAATAGATATCAATAGTACCATCCCCATCTTATAACTGGGGAAACCGAGGCACAGAGAGATTGAGTAACTTGCCCAATGTCACACAGGTAGTGTTAGAGCCAGGATTTGAGCCCAGGCAGCCTAGCTCCAGCTCCCATGCGCTCAACCATTAGGTGACTCGACCTTAGTACATCCTCACTGCCATTTTCTTGGGTTACCTTCGAAGACTATCTATGTGTTTCCCACCATTTTTTGAGGTCCAGTTCTTTCTTTTTGCTTAGAGGTTTTCCTCCACGCAAGGATGTCTGTACCCCCTCTCACCATCCTCCCGCCTGCCCTTCACTCCCCACTCTGGGCAGTCATTCTCCTCTCAGCAGTGGGCTTCATCCTGCCAGCCTAGGGCAAGAAAGGGGGAACTCTGCAGGCAGATTCCTGCAGGAAGATGGGAATGTGAGAGACTAACACACACAGAAGGTCATAATTGAAAAAAATGATATAACTGATACTTTAAAGACGATATAATTCATCTATCCACCCAATGTTTTAAACTCTAGTGTAACATTCCACCGGTGGACATCCCACAAGTCAGGGACAGAACGGTCCCAAGAAGCCCACTCCAAGCTTCAAAGGACTGTAACTTCTAGAAGTTTTCTTCTAATTTTGAACCAGAATTTGTCTCCTGGTAGTATCTCCCTTTGGGGCCTGGTTTTATCCCCAGGGATATTTAATGCAAATCTGACCTTTCTTTTTCATACCCTTTAGATATTTAATGGCAACTATGTGTTCCCCAGGTCTTCCAACCCCTCATTATATAAGACTTGCAACTCAGAAAAAATGACACAGAGAAGTGCAAAAGATCTACCAAAGGATCAAGAGAACAGGAGTAAGTGAGGTTGGGTGGGGTTCATCAAGGAATTCAAACACCCTGGAAACCCTTCCGTATGTGCAGAACGAGAAGGAAGACATT